GTGATTTGGTTCTTGTGCAGTTGAGTTTGCGACCAGAATCTTGGAGAGAATCGAGTTTGTGAACCAAGGCACTACTGTATTACTGAATGAAAACCACAAGGACAATAAAGTACCTGTAATTCTTTTCAAGATGAACTCTATATAGTTTATTGCTTGTTGATGTTTAATATAGAGTTGAAGAAGCTATCAGATACTTTTTATTTATTTATTTATTTTTCCCGGTACTGGGGATCGAACTCATGACCTTGCTCTTGCCAGGCAGGTGCTGTGCCACTGAGCTAAACCTTTAGCCCCTCGAATATTTTTTAAACCATTAAACAAGCTATGTTCCCCACAGACTGTTGTATGTGTCATTGCATGGCTGTGGTTTTCAGTTTTTCCCTTTTTTTGAGGTACATTTGGTCTACAATATGTGGTTGCTTTATAATAATTGTTAATACCTGTACTGCATATGTGATATTAATTGAAAACTCACCTTGTAAGCGAACAAGGGAATTGTGTGACAGATTTCACTAAAAGATCTCTGGTGATGTGGCTTCAAACACAAGTGTTATTAGGATGTACCCTCCATTTGTCTGTCACCTTTCATGTTCTTTCTTTAAGCACTGTTTGTGACAGTTCTAGCCTTGTGTGTTTCCACCTTCTGGTTCAAAGGAAAGCACATTTTCCCTTCCTGATGGTTAAACAGCTCTAAAATAGAGTTCCATCAGCTGTGGCAAAGATCTCATGCCCATCCTTGAAGAAATCAGGGACCACAGGGATGTGAAACTCACTCTGTCCACCTCTGGGCCTCATGCCTAGACCTGGGCCCATGCGTGAAGTAGATCCTCCCAGAACACATGGTGGTACCTGAGGAAAATAAAGTTATATTTACAATAAAGGGTAATAGGTTGTTAGGAATAGAATTAAAACAGTATCTGCCTGTACACTTTCATTTCCCAGCCATCCCAGATACCACACCCCAGTGTGGGTTGATAGTTATGGCAGATACAGGAAACTTAGAAAGGTAGAAGACTATGTACATGGCTCAAGTATTGCTATGTAGGAAGCTGATGGAATAAGTGTTGCAAGACAGCTGTTTTTCTGTCTTTCTTCATCTTTGTATATTTTCTCTTTCTCTAAATTGTCTGTTCGTTGGATTCCCATTGTAGTTCTTTTTGATTAATTGGATTCCTACTTCTTAAGGCATCCAAGTCAAGACGGCACCGTCAGGTCAGACTGGACTCTTCTGACTCTGACTCTGCATCTGGTCAAGGACAAACCAAAGCAGCCAGGAGGAAAAGAGCCAGGCCAGCGCGGAAGTCAGCAGGAAGGAAGGCGTCTGCCAGGAGCAAAGGTATTTTTTAAGGTCTTACTAAGACTCAGAAGGGGAGAGCAGATCTTATTTACAGGTGTCCTTCACCTTTATTTCTTTAATAGGAAGGATTATAGGCTTGAGAATTGTGAGATTTAATATTAAAAATAAATTAATTTAGATTTTGGGGTTCTTACTGCTGAAAGGGACCTTAGGAGTTAAATCAGATTTGTCATTTTATAGGTGATGAATGTGGGCCCTTACAGGTTAAATGACTCGGCAGAAGTACTATGATATAGATAGATAGGGGCCTGGGGGTTTAGCTCAGTGGTGCAGCGCCTGCCTGGAAAGTGTAGGTCCTGAGCTCCATTCCCGGTAGACCCCCCAAAATATATATGTATAGACAGATAGATCTAGAATTGGTCTAGACTTATCCAGCAGATACTTTGTTAGTAATCTTTATGTGTGAATCAGGCTTTTATGTAGAATAAGCTAATGATAAGTTCATGTATTCTATGAACTATATTTTCTTTTGGTTATATTAATTAGGCTGTGTGTTGGTTACTCTTCCCTCATTGCTGAGACAAAATATGTGACACCCGGAATTAAGGAAGACAAGGTTTATTTAGCTCGCAGCTTGTGGAGGTTTCAGCCCATGCTTTGCTGGCGGACTAGCAAGGCAGACTAGCACATGGCAGAGGGCAACAGTTCACTGCTGCTGAAAACAGCAAAGGGAGCAAGAGCAGAAAAGGGAGGAGGAGCATTAAGCAAGCCTCTTTCCCTCCCTTATATTGTATGCAAGCGACCCGCCCTAAGGCAGGTGTAGCTCTCACACCCATAATCCCAGCATTGGACCATGGATCAATCATAAACTCTGGAAATCCACCCCTGACTGCATGAGGCTTTGCGGGGGCATCTAGACATAAACTACAACAGGCTGCTGCTCCTTTTCTTTGAAATAGCCTGTTGGTAAAATTACCTTTGCTATTTGGTTCTCAGACAACTATTTTATTTTATTTTATATTTTTAAATTTTATTTTAAAGAGAGTAGTAAATGAGAAAAAAAAAAAGAAACAATACCAGTATAATACCAGCATCACAAACATAAACCAAAGCAAGAACATTAAAAGTGATACAGGGTTTCAAGACAAAATAATACGAATTAACGTGGTTGTTACATTACATATCACTATCCTCAGCTACGTTGCTCAGATTACCAGATGTAAGAATGGAAGATTGTTCAAACCATTAAAGAGAATAGGAAAATAATTATTAGATAAAACAGTAGAGATAATACAGTTTCACTATACAAGATGGTAGGAGTTCACCGTGGCAATTCTGTTGCACACTGTTACCTTCAAATCAGTTGCTCAGATCACCAGATATACGCATGCAAAACTAGTGAGAACATAAACATTTTTAAGTATTAACTGTTCCTTTCAATACACCACCAGATATCAGCAATACAGTTATTGCAGCTATTCATATATATATATTTATATTTTGCCTTCCTTTTATCTTCTTTCCCTCATCCCAGTCGTTCCTTCCTTTGAGCAATTTCTTTCCCTTTCCTATCATCTATTGTACGTTTTGAGTTTTACTTATTCCTTCAGGTTCCTGTACTAGGGAGACAATATGATATTTACACATGTGGGTCTGTTTTATTTCACTTACGAGTATGGTCTCTAGTTGCATCCATTTACCTACAAAAGCCTCGAGTTTATCTTTTTCTATAGCTGAGTAATACTCCATTGTATAAAAATACCACATCTTTTTTATCCATTCCTCATTTGATGGGTATTTGGGTTGTTTCCAAGATTTAACTATAATAAATTGTGCTGCTATAAATATGGGTGCACATATATCACTATGGTATGATGTCAGATGACTGTTACTCTGGTTTTTAAAAAAAACTTGCATGAATAATATTCACCATACATAAAATTAGGATTTTATTTGGTGGGAAGAAAGAACATTAGAATCATTAGTAAACATTTAATGTTTAATACTAGACGCTTTGCTAGTGAAACTAGGAACATGTCACAGACCTCAGGAGTGTATAAAGATAATTTACAGCTTTTTAACATTTTTCCCATGTGTATTGAGGCAGTACAGGGATAGCTGGGGTTAAATACTTTTGGTATACTTTCAGGTATGGTTAAGTGGTTGCGTAAAGCACACTGAAATTTCTGAGGAGATTCCATATTTGTTAAGGGTAACCAAGAAATACTTCATAAGGAAAATTTTCTACTTTTTACAAAGCTAGCAGATGGTGTGAAGAGTATTGTTAGACTAAACTCACTATAAATATTAGGAAAAAATACTAAATTACATACATCATGAAGAGAACCTGAGATTATAAAAACTTGCTGGAATGCACTGATCCTGGGGTGCAAGCATGGTGCAGTTCATCTCTTAAAAGAATTTATTTAAAAAGGCTGGGAGGGGCATGGAGTTCATTTTAATAGTTACTAATGAAGACACTTGATACCATCCAGCATTCCTGATTCACTAAAAAATCCTCTAGTTCAGGGGGTTTGCAGACTGGTTTTGTAAGGGGCCAGAAGCAAATATATTGGGCTTTGTGAATCATACAGTTTGTGTTACAACTACTCAGCTGCTTTTGACAATACAAAAGCAAGTGTGGTTGTGCACACCTATAATTCTAGCACTCGGGAGGCTGAGGCAGGAGGATTGTTGCAAGTTGGAGGCCAGCCTGCACTACATAGCAAGACCCTGTCTCAAAAACACCCAACCAACAAAACAAAACAAAAAAGCAAACGAGCATGGTTGTGTCCCAGTAAAAGTATTATAAAAACAGGTAACGGGCAGAGTTGGTCCAGAGGCCACAGCTCATCAACTCCTGTCCTAGATAAAAGAAATAGAAAGTTACCGCTTTAATCTGTAATTTTTAAAGTCTGTGTATATATGTTAGACCATAAGGCCCTTCACATTTAATAGTAATATGCTAGAGGTATCACAGTTTTATTTGATACTGTTCTTGAAGAGCTAATTAATACAATTAGACAAGAGAATGAAATGAGATAATATCAGGACATTTTCATGACTTATGAGTACTGATTTTGTGCTTTCTTTACTGAATTATGTGTAGCTTTACTGCATACTTATGCAAACATTATGCTCCAAACATCAGAAAATTTATGCATGGCAGTAAAAATTCGCTTAGTTTTCTTCAACAGTTTGCCAAACAATTATGTAAAACATAACTTTGCAATAGATTGCCTCATTATAAAGTATTTTTAAGGTAGGAGCATATAGTTGGTTTCATTTAATAACTTATGACATCCTTTCCTCTTAAATGTTCAGAGCTCTGACAGGGAGGCCCTGTGTGTACTCTTCCTCCAAGTGCACTTCCGTTAGCAGCCAGCACGGCAAGGGTGATGGTGCGTGTATTGGGAAGATCATTCTGCCAGCAGTTGAGGGTCTGGCCTAGAGGAGAGTGGCAGGCGAGGGAGGCAGATAGGAAGATTCTGTAACAGTCCCAAGCTCACTGATGAGACCTCTGGCTTGGGTAACCAGTGGGTACCACTGTTATTTCATAAGGTGCTAAAAAAACTGAAGGACTAAAAGTCTATGGGTGAAGTTGATGAATAAAACTTGGAGCAAATCTGAGTTTTTGAGGTACCTGAATAAAATGTTGAGATGAAAGACCAGTACTCTGAAATGATGGATTGTATGCCTAAAAATACCCTAAAGAGGAGCTGGGGGTTTAGCTCAGTGGCACAGCACCTGCCTGGCAAGCATGAGGTCCTGAGTTCGATTCCCGGTACCACCCCGCCAAAAAAAAGTAAATAAAAATACCCTACAGAGAATTATGTGAAAAAAATTAGGAACAAAAAGTGTAGTAAGATCAGATATATCAGTATAGACCTTCCAGAAATGAAAAGATTAAGCACAATTATTAATAATTTTATTCAAATAAGTTAAATAAAAGGAATACTATTCTATACCGATGCTTTCAGAAAATACAAAGGGGATTACTGGCATTACAAGAAAAAACCCTAAAGATTGATATCCTTGTGAGTGTACCTGCAAAAATCCCTACAAACTATAAGCAAATCAAATGGAAAAATATATTAAAAAGACTTATTAACAACTAGGGTTTATCCCAGGAATGTAAGACTGGTTTAACATTAGAAAGTAAGCCAGTGAAATCATCTAATAGCTGATAAAAGAGTAATAATGTCAGTGAATATAAACAGAATATTTGACACAATCCAGTATCTAATCATGATGGAAATGTGGGCAGCCGGGTGCTGTGGTGCACACCTATAATCCCAGCGATTTGGGAGACTGAAGCGGAAGGATTGCAAGTTCAAGGCCATCCTGAATAGCAAGACCTTGTCTCAAAAAATGTAAAGGGCTGGGGACCCTTTGTAGAGGACCCCTGAATTCCATCCCCCAGTACCAAAATGAGTAAATAAAGGCCTCTGAGATTGGGACTAGAAGGAAATGTACTCAATCTAATAAACGACTTCTGTGGAAAACGATAGCCACCATCATATGTAATGGTAAAACAGTGCTTTCTTCCTACAGTCTAGAACAAAGCAAGGATATCCACTGGAAGTCCTAGGCAGTGTAGTAAGGCAAGAAAATGAAATAATGGACATTCAGACTAGAAAGAAAAATAATAATATTGGGCCTGTTTTCACATAAAATTAACTTTTCCATAGAAAATCCTAAAAAAAATAGCTACTAGAATAGTCAAGTGTTCTACCATTGAGGTAGACTCATAGCCCCTAATAGTTGAATTTAGCACTTCACAAGGTACAGTGTTAATATTTCTTTATATTAAAAATCAGTAACTAGGAATTGAAAAATTTTGACATAGTACAATAATACTGGAAATATAAATTGCATAGGTACAGAAGTATGTGCAGAATTCGTGTGCTGAAAACTTCAAAATAATGATGAAAAATCCGTAAGACCTAAATGCAGAGATATGTGGTCTTCATGGATTAGAAGCCCCAATATTAAGATACCTACTAAACCCAAATTCTTCTGTAGAGCCTGTAAAATCA